GACTGGGGGTACACCGCACAGTACAGGGATTCAATTGGATTGATTGGACTCTGTCCCGGGTCCACCGTAACTCCACTTTTTGGTTAGATTCATCGGATGCAAATGAGTCGAATCAAGTCGAGTTTTATAAGTGTTCGAGTTCAGTTTATTTAATAAATAAATAAACTTGAGTTTGCGCTGTTAACAAGCCAGGCTTTTGCGAGCTGAGTCGAGGTTTTAAGTGTCGAGTTCGGCTCATGCACAGATTTTATGTGGGGTCTACTATGGGTTCCGCAAAAATGATCCCAAGTTGTTCATTAAATGTAAAATATTTTTTCAAGCCCTTTCACAAAAAATCAACCCAATTCGATACCTATAGATGCTTGATCCAATCATCTAACTCTTCATTATTCTGAAATCCGAATGAAAAGTTAGATGATTGGATCGAACGCCTATATTGAGCTAATTTTTCATAAGGAACTTTGAAAAAATGTTTTACATTTAATGAATAGTTTGGATCGTTTGTATGGGACCATAGTGAGCCCTACACAAAATCTACGCGTGATTTGTACCCTATTTATTTGTGTGAATAGCGCAGTTGAATACACAAAGGGCAAAGTCTTTTTCAATGCGAATAGCTTTTGAAGCTTCGTCACAAAAAGTAACCTCCACAATTGTCCTTCCGAAACGTCAATTTGTACAACTATTTTTTTATGGGCCATTAAATAAAATGGTGAACAGAGTTGATTTTTTACATGGCCCTATAAAATAATATTCAAAAATTGATGGATATTTTTTTAGATTTTTATGGGACCCGAAATAGGCCCAAACACATTTTTTCTTGTATGGTTCCCTGCAATTCTTCTTTGCGATTAGAATTTCTTCTTTGCGATTAGAATTTCCGCTTTTGTAGCTTCATCACAAAAGTAATCTCCACAATTGTCCTTTCACAAACGTAAGTTTTTACAACTACTTTTAACGTGCCATTAAATGATTGTCATGGCAAAATAGTAATTGATTAGGGGGTGTTTGGATGGGCCATTTTTACATTTTCCAATTCTAATTTTTGGGTTTTGGGTGTTAGGCAAGAAAAGGGAAAATGGGCTTTGGGTTTTGGCGTTTCAAAAATAAAACCAACAATGAGGTGGATAGGAGCTTTTTGAATTGTCATTTTCCCATTTTGGAATCATAGCATGCCAAAAGGACCACCTTACCCTCTCTCTTGTGGAATAATCTTCATTTTGTCCTCGTAAATATGAATGTTATCTGTTCAATAATAGAAATAATAAAAATATATTTAAAATAAAAGGGGGACACTTTCAGTTCATGCACCAGTCCAATTTCAGAAGTACATTTAAAAAAAATTATTAAAACATAGTTTATATGCATTATACACCATTATTAATAATCGGGGGCAAAATAGTAAAAAATCAATTCATAATTCATTATTGGATTTTTGGTCTATTTTCCCAAAAATCTTTCTTTCTACCATTAAAGAGATTTCTTTAGTTTAGTAAAGCCGCCACTGGAGTGTATTGCTCTGACAGACTGGCACACAAATTGGGAAGCCATTGAAAAATGCTCCAATAGGCAGCTTGTCGGCAGTTTTGCACCGGGATTGCACAAATTGGGAAGCCAAGGCATGCCTATCGGGAGTGATTCGAACTGTCATACGCCCGTTCAAGGGCGAAACTAAATGCATGTTGGGTTGGGAGGACTATAACCCGTGTCAATTTTGAAAAAAATAAAAAATCTACCCGTAAAATTTAGCCTAATCCATTCGGCTATTCCATCTACCAACCTACTTTAGCCCAGGGCAAATTATATTCCTAATTTTGCTGAACGTGTTGAATAAAATGTACGTGAAAAGTTGATCGAAGAACAATAAGAGATATTCTATTCGCACCCGTCTTGAAAATAATGAAAAGTGTATTTCTTTAATAATTTTGCGGAGCTAGTAAGGACAAATGAGTAAATTCCGAATCCGATCCGATCCGACCCTCACCCTCCTCCAATGACCATAGCGCCGCCACAATAGCCGCCAACCAGAGACGGAACTATGTGAGGGCTTATGGGGGCCACGGCCTCCGTATAGTTTTGGGTATCTTTTTGTAAAATAAAAAAAAAAATTAAAAATATATATATTTAAAAAAAATTTGTTATTCGTTAAATCTAATCTATTCTATTCTTGAGAACTTGGAGAGGGGGATGGGTTCTTTCGAAAATTGCACCCTTCCTATTTGCATGGGAATATAAGAGATGTACCACATGCATAGCCGCACTCTACTTCACTTGTTTTTAAAATATTAAGATTAGTTGTTTTTTGTTTGTTAAGAGCCACTATATATTGTTTTTTTGTATTGGGTGTTATTAAACATTTAAATGCTTTAGACTATGTTCGTTTTGGGTCCCAAAATCCAACCTCTCTCTCTATGCACGGTCTCCAATTATTTTTCCCTTCAATTGTTTTTCTCATTTCTCTTTTTTATCTCTTTTCACTCATTAACCAAAAAACCTCTTCAAAACCCAAGCCAAATAAACTACTATTAGATTTCTGAACCTTAAAATTTCAAAAGTTATTGTTCATAGTTCGGCTCCCGTGTTGAAGAAATCCTGGTTCCGTCGCTACCGCCAACTGTCATAAAAACATTTCTCAAGTCGGTCATTGAGAGTCAAATACAATGAACATCACTCCGGGACAAGTTCGTGTCCTGCGGCCTGTGTGTGTCACAGTGTGGGGGGGGGCGCTCGTACGGTCATGGGCACAAAATTTATTGCCAGTCCACTTGTTGATGAGCCCATTTATCTACCTTCCATTCCAATTTGATGGCCCCCTCCTCTATCCACAACGTGATAGAAATGGACCAACTAATTTAGAAACCACCTTTACGGAAGAAATTGGCTTATTAATGGAGGACTGAACGATCTCAGCCATCGTTTCGGCATTGGACGATTCGGATTTTAATGACGTTTCGATTTTGGATGGTTTGGATTTAATTTAAATCTGAACCGTCCAAATCCGAAATGGACGACCGCGATGCACCTTCATAAACACTATTCATGGAAACAACCGTAATAAATTCTCTTTACGGAATTAGCGTGAAAAGTTTCCAATTGACTAGCGAAACAATCACGTTGAAGCCGCCGCCGCCGCCGCCCGCCCCCCCTCTCTCTCTCTCTCTCCGGATCGCGTCGAATGTCATACTAGAATTTTTACATGACTTCTGATTGCCCGATCACTATCTCTTCCACAACTTGATCACAGCCCCTCCAAATCAGTTTGCATTTATTATTATTTGATCCAGTCATCCGAAGACCTGTGAATGAGTCATTTGCGGAGCTGAACAATCTCAGCAGTTCTTTTCAGCTTTGGACAGCCCGGATTTTAATCCGAACGGTCCAAAGTCGAAACGAACGACCGCGGTGCACCTCCGTAAACACTATTCACGGAAATAGACGTAATAAAGTTTTTCTCTTTACTGAAATAGCGTGAAAAGTCTCCAATTGACTAGCCAAACAATCACATTGAACCCCTCTCTCTCTCTCTCTTCGGATCGCGTCAAACGTCAGATTAAAATTTTTACATGACTCCTTATTGCCCGATCACTATCTCTCGCACAACTTGGCCACAGCCCCACCAAATCGGTCTGCATTTATCATTATCTGATCCAGTCATCAACAGCCTGTCTAAGAATGGGATGGCTGCATGGTTACAACTTACAAGGGATAATAAACATGGGAAAATGATATTGACACTCCAAAAATTGATGCAAGCACTCCAAAATCAATTTAACTCAAAGCCACTTTCATTTATTTTTTAGAATGTCTGCATCAATTTTTGGAGTGCCAATATCATTTCCCTAAACAGTTACTAGAATATATATAGAAACAAACCAAAGTTTTGGAATCATCAATACTTACACATAAACCAAAAGAAAAATGAAGTGATAGAAGGAAGGTCCCACCGGGATTCGAACCAGGTGCCTGGATTCAAAGTCCAGAGTGCTAAACCAGTACACCGTGGAACCTTGCTGGGCCCAACCTGTCAACCTTTATCATTAAACTAATTAATTACAATTACTACAATCTTAAGCAAATGTCCGCTTGCTCTTGGATAATGTTTGGATACGACGGTTATTTGTAATGCCCTCTCTCGTGAGGTGGGACCCATGTCTGTGTAAGCCCACCGAGACAAATAATAGTACTGAAAATTTTATCGCGCAGCGATGCCAACTAATGTTAATTTAAGCAGATAGATTATTATGAATTTATGAGTGTGGTGTGCTGAAAAAACGGGCTTGACCTGAGCTTTAGGGATTAGCTTGTTGGGCCAGAAACCATTTGGCTGAAAGGTCGTCTCCATAATCATAGGATGTCTTGCAAAATATGGTTTCAGACCAGATGGTTGTTAATGAGCCGGACACGAAGTTAGCGGATTAGGGTCGGCTATTTTTGACACGGAACACGAATATGACATGACACGATAGCACGAAAAGCTAAAAAGGTCGGGTTAGAATTGAGAGAATTCTGACAGGACACGATGTCCAGTGCCCGTCCCTAGTGGTTATTCTGTATAATTATGGTGTGCGTTTTTTTTTTCCCAATATTTCCGCTCAATGTCCATGATTGCAATTATCATATTTACTTCTTGCTTCTATCACTGATCCAGTGATTCACTGTGGCTTCCCCTAGAAAATATCCAAGGATCATTGGTCCTTCTAAGTTCTAAAGAAAAGTTTTGGCACTGTGCAATGAAATTTAGTAGATCTCTTTACGTCGCGCTTGGAAATGCATAGACCACCATCTTTGATTCAGCAACTAGCATTATATAAAAGAATGCAGCTCAACCGTATACGAAAAATCTATACATATAAACAAGAATTCAGTTCAGCCAAGTCTTTTTCGTCATGGAGCTTGAAAACAAGTTGGACAGTTACGAAAGGGATAAACATGCAGCTAGAAGATAGAAACAAACCAAATTTTTTTGGAACCATTAATACATAATGTGAAGCGATAGAAGGTGCCCACCGGGATTTGAACCCAGGTCGCTGGATTCCAAGTCCAGAGTGCTACACCATGTAAGAACCATGCTGGGCCCAATCTGTCAAGCTTTATCATTAAACCAATTAATTAAAATCACAAGCATTAAGCGAAGGGGATCGCTCTTAATCAGCCATTCACATTGCCTTTTCCTAACAACTGAAGAATTTGTTCAAAAAAGAGGAACTGTGGTTTTTTGTTTGCAGAATGGTGCTGCTGATGGAGTGATTACTTGTTTTACTGTGGAATTCTGCAACCATTGTAACTACTGCTTCTACTGTCATTCTGGTGCTGCTTCTATTCTGAAGTGTTTGGTGCTGCTTATGTTCCCAAAATTCTGCTACTTCTGCTGCTTCGGTGTCTACTTGAATACTAATTCTGTTTGCTGAAGCTGCTGGTTGCTGTTGTTGTCTTGGTCTCAAATGGATGGTTGCTGCTATATCTGGTTTTGCTGTTGCTTGTTTGGATTGCTGAATTTTGGCACAAAATGGTTGGTGATTCTCAGGGATTTTGTTATCAATACAGAAGTTCATATGGGAGGATGTTTTGGGGGATTGTTCTGTTCTATGGGATTAGCCTGGGATCTTACTCCACTTTGTTGGAGGATTGTGTTTCATTGCTATCATATATCTCTTCTTCTTTTGTGCTTGTTTGTGTTTGCTCCTCGCCAACCCTCCCTTCTTTGGGATGGCACGTGATCGTCCAAGACTCTCGTGAATCGTGCCAACCTAGTTGGGATGTTTGTCCTTGGTTGTGATGCCTTTTTATCCTTGTTCCTTTTAGTCTATGCATCTATATGGTTCAAAGATTGATAAAATGTTCCTTTTCGCTGTACTAACAAAAACAACTTAAGCATTGGCTGGGTTGTATACCCATCTGCATCAGCAGCATTACCTGTTTCTATTAGTTTTCTTGGTGTATCATGTGCGATAATATCAACTCATGTGAACTTAAGCAGATGGATTATGAATGTGGTGGGCCGAACATTTGGGTTTGAACCAAGCAATAGGGCGTAACCCTGTCGGGCCAGAAACCGTTGGCTGAAAGGTCGTCACTGGCCGGGCTTTAATCCAGTAGCTGCTACACTGGTGGAATCACGTTAGTTTCATAGGATGTCTTGCAAAATATGGTTTCAGACCACAAAGGTATCTTATGCTGTAGTAGTATAATTTAGAGGTGCTCCTCCTTGAAAACGTTTTACTTCCATTTCTGAGATGTTTTTCCAATATTTCCTCTCCTTACCAATGATTGCAATTGATCAACTGTAAAATTTCGACAGGAAAATTTGAAAAGAAGACCAGTTAACAAACAAACAATAAGCAAAAGAAGTTCACCTAATCTCGTTATTTTTTGAGTCTTGTTTTACTTCTTCGTTTATTTCGTCTAAGACGGACAGAAAAAGCACAAATAAAAGCGATGGAAACCAAAGAGTTGCTACCTCTTTGCTCATGTTGCAAACATGACTTAAGCGACAAATAACCAAATAAGACGTGCTAATGGAACGAGCATATTATTCTAGTGACTAAAATGACTTCTTCCAAATCTCTATAACTTCCATTAATCCCTTCTTGGATCCCCCACCATCTCCCACTGCTCTCCTAGCCTCTTCTCTAACACACTTTGCTTTAGCTTTCACCAATTCATTCCCCATTACGTCCCTAACTTTCTCTGCAATTTCCTCTCCCTTAACCACCACCTCTCCTCCTCCCCACCCCCACGCCTCAGCCCACAACCCCATCCCAATCCTCTCCACCACAACAGCATTCATCTTCTGATCCCCATGTTGTGGCCAAGCCAGTATAGGCACCCCGTTCCACATCGCCTCGCTCACTGAGTTCCACCCACAATGACTCAAGAACCCACCAACTGCTTTGTGACTCATTACCTCCTCTTGATTCACCCAATTCTTCACCACCAATCCTCTTTCCTTCACCCTCTCCATAAACCCATCTCCCACAACTTCACCCAGTTCCCCTCCATCTTCTCTGTCCACTTTCTTTTCCTTCACCACCCACAAAAACCTACATCCACTCCTCTCCAACCCATCACCCAATTCTCTAATCTGCTCCCTTGACATGGCAGTTCTGCTCCCAAAACTCACGTACAAAACTGACCCATCTGGTTGATCATCAAGCCACGGTACTGATTGGGTCCTTTCAATACCCAATGGAGGAAATGGGCCAATTGCAGTCACCCTTGGTAGCCCGTTTACTACTTTCCCATCATTGAGTGCTCCCAAGGAATCCTGCTCAATGGTCTGAAATGTGTTTACCAGGATTCCATCTGATTGTATCATCTTCTTCCCATTCTCTATGATTTGGGTTCGCAAGAGGTTAGGTGTGTCTGAGAGTAGTGGTGGGGGAATCCTTGATTTCGGTATCGATTGCAGACCAGTTTGAAAGTAGTCCTCTGTTTTGTCAGAATTGTTTGGAGCTTTTGAGCCAACTGTGGCGTGGAATGACACAAAAAGTGTCAACATTTGAGCTGACGAAGTGAACAAAATGTAGTTGGGAAGGTTAAGAGATTGGGTGACTGGGATGACTGTGGAGGCCAAGCTCATGTCTGTGACAAGAGCAGAGAGAGGCGGCGATAATGAGGAGAGAAGCGGTTTCAGAAGATGGGATGATAAGCGAATGGCTTCGTATTTGACGTAGAAAGGATCTTCTGAATTGTCACAAGTAGCATTGTTCAATGGGAGGAGATTGAGTTGCTTTGGAGTGATGTGAGGGAAAGTGGAGAAGAAGTGAGAGAGAGTTTGTGACTCGGCTAGCGAGATAGTTGGGTGAGTAGTGATGAGGGTAATCTGGACACCTTGTTGGGCTAGCGAAACAGCGAACCGGAGGAAAGGTGTTAGATGACCCATGCCGGAGCTGGGAAGGAGAGCTACATGAGGAGCTGGTTCTTGGTTTTGGGAGTTCGACATTTTCAGGTGGAAAATACTCTAATCGTGACTATATATTGATGTGATCGACTCGTTAGAATCCTGCTGCTCAAGTAAGTATTCTAGGCATAAATATAATAAGAATATGTAGATGGTCAAATGTGGCAACTGCTGCTAGAATTCCATGTGTGGTGATGTTTTCTTGTTCAGCAAGATGTGTGAGATTTTCCTGCTTTAATTCAACAGTCATGACTTATGACTATAGTGTTGATTATCCATTAAGTCTTTGTCTCGTTAAGGTCGCATGTTTGAATTCCACGAAAGGCCACCATGGACCACTAACGAGTCTGTCTGGTCGTTAACTTTAGGACCCCGAAATTAGTCGAAATGCGTGCAAACTGGTCCATACATCTGGTTATAAAAAATGGTGGAAACTAGGTGAGTTTGATGAGGGGTCTTAAAAAATTATGTCTTGTCCTTGTTGTTTTTACATGATTTTTGCTGGAGTTTTTGTTCAACTTGACTTCTCTTCCCTTTGAGAGATGGTTTTCCCCCCTCACCTGACAGACCCCTTTTCCACCTTTTTGCTAAAATGTCCGTAATACCCCCAACCTCCACTCTTTTAACTAAATTCTATTAAATAAATAAGATAAAAAAATTAAAAAATTAAATAAAAAAGGAATTTAGTAAAATAAACAATATTAAAGAAAAAAAGATATAAAGAATATTAAATAAATAAAAGAGAAAAAAGATATAATGAAAAAGAGATAAATAGATAATTAAATAAATAAGATAAAAGAATTTAAAAATTAAATAAAAATAGAATTTAGTTAAAAGGGTGGAGGTCGGGAGTATTTCGGACATTTCGGCAAACAGGTGGGGGGGTTGGTGCTGTCAGGGGAGGGGGAAAAGCAATTTGCCTTCCCTTTTGTTGGGTCCCTTAGTGAATATGGTGGGAATCTTTGAATTCTATCTTACAATTTGTGTCTGGTGTGTTGTATGGGTCTTGGACGTATTGGAACTCTGGAGGAAAAAGGCCAAGAAGGAAAAAGTCTTTTTGATTGGCGAAAGTCAGTATTGTTAGAATACTTAAAAGTGCATGTGAGGAAATCCTAATCCAACCCTTTCTTCCTCTTCAAGAATGCACAAACATTTTCAGTTATCATTGGTGCACGAAATTTCCTTGTGCGTTGTTGTATGGGTCTCTGATGTAAAGGAACTTTGGAGGGAAAAAGCCAAGAAGGGGAAAGTCTTCCTGATCGGCAAAAGTTAGCATTGTTAGAATACTTAAAAATTACACAAGGAAGGAAAAAGTTAGGAATAAGACAAACGCTAAACTAGTTTTTCTCTTTTGCTTCTGCTAGGAAATGAGAGAAAAATGAATATACATTTATCTCTCAAAAAAAACAAAAAACCATTCTTCGGTCTCGTCACCCTGAAAATCGAATTTGTTCTCATAAAATCCGTCAATAGCCCTATATTCCACTTAATTTCCATGTAGTCCCCTCAGGGTATCCAATGATTTCAGAATATCAAAACAATAGCCAAAAAAGAAAAAAAAATTTGTTTTGGTTATTTGGGGACATGTGTGTTGGGAGTAATAAAAAGTAGTATAATAAATTTTATACGCACAATACTAGAATAAAAAAAGAGAAATGCCACAATATATTTCACATTTCAATGACGTGAAAGTTGTAGCAAAGACTAGTGGCAAATATTATGTTTATAAAGATAAGGATCTGATCTTGCATCGATATCAACAAAAGCACAGTTGACATCTATCTCTCCAGATACAATAGTCGAATATCATACAGAAACAATATTGTACTTTCTGTCCCACAAGAAAATACCCTTAGAAAATACGAAGTGTATTCACGTGAAAATTTGAAGTGAATCATCAAAAATTGCAGAAACGAAACTGCAAGATATTGGTAACACCTATGAAGCATATATTCAGGAGTGTGAATAAATTGGATGGGGAATCAGTGAATGTGTTTTTTGAACTTTTTTGTTTGGTTTATTTGGGGGCATGTGTGTAGGGGTTATAAGGGGTTATAAAAAGGGGGTTTGTCTGCTAAACAAAGAGAAACAGATCAAGAGTTTTAGATTTTTTAATATATTTCACATTTAAATGACGTGAAAGTTGTAGCCAAATCAAGATTAGTGGCAAGTATT